TCCCCACACGACTGAAAGAAATAGTTTCCACTCTTACTTTTGCCTACCCCATGGGGTGAGAATAAAAAGATGGTTCACATTTAGTTTCCTACATGTAAAATAAGCCAGGATGAATGAGGAACTTTCAGAAACAGTATTGGGGAAGGGGAGAATTATGTAAGCAGTGGATTTAAAGATCTGTAACGCTGTAAGACTTGGCTCAAGCCAGGTGGCCAGTCTGGAGCATCTCCAAGTGAGAAGTAGCTGAGGCCAATCTCCCACCCTGTATTTACATCCTTTTCCTAGTGTTTCTTCAGAAACAGTTGGATACCTATATAGGGACACTGCCCCACTCAGTACTGGAGAAGCCATGGCTCTTCCACTCTCTTGCCCCCCAGCTTTGAGTAGGGAAGGACAGCGAATGGACAGTAATGCCTCTGCAGGGGCAGGCTGAGCACCCCTACTATGGCTGTGCAGGCTGACATGTCCTGGCCTGGCTATCTACAGGTTTTTAGGTTTCTTTGCAGAGTCCTGTGTGTGTATATTTAAACAGCGATTTAGTATTAAAATTTCTACGTGCCGGAAAGTCTCTGAGTCCTGGGCCAACCGGCATGGTTGGTCACTGTACTTTCATCTGACATAAGATGATGCGTCAAAGAGAAGCTGGTAATAGGGAATCTTCTCCCCAGCACCCCACTTTAGGTCAGCTTCACTCACTATAGACCCTCAGCATCCCAGAGAAACACTGGTCCTTTGGGTTCTGCATTTCTTCAACATTTTCATTTTGACTATTTACACACACAGACATGTTTCCAGCTGGGGAAAAAAAAAATGATGACGTGTTCACCAGCAAAAGGAACAAAATTGAAACCACTCACAATTTCAATCTCCAGAGCTAATCAGCATCCAATCCTTGGTGTTTGTCCTCCAGAAACATAAATATCCCCTTTCTGTCTCATGAAAACGGGCCACAGTGTGCACTCTGTTCTGCACCCTGCCTTTCCCTTATCACTACACATGGCTGTTCTTCAGTATGGCTAACTGCGGCCTCCCAGAAAACAGCCCAGGCTGTGAGGAGCCCTCCACACCTTCCTGGTGAGTCTTTCTTGCTCTTGTTTCCTGACGGTCTATCTCCTGTGTGCGGAGGCAGTCTAGATATTTACACAGCTGGGAGAGACAGAGAAGAATGGCTGCGGAAAGCCAGGTGAGACTCGAGCCCTGGAGTGAGACGGGCTGGAGGAAGGGGTGCGAGACAAGAGCAGCAGGGAGAATGACTAGAAGTGTGGGAAACAGAAAATGCCTGGGGAGCAGGCTGGCCTAGACCAAAGGCCAGTCATCAGCAAGAAACATTTGACTTGACAAAGGCCAGTTTCCTCTGCACAGTTTCATTAAGAAGGATGCCACTACCCTCTTTCTCCCACAGAGAGCCTTCATGACCCATTCACTTGTCAAGTCTAGCATCCACTGTTGGAAATAGATGTATGAGGTTTCCGGGGCTGCTGTAACAGAGAACCCCAAACTAGATGGCTTGAATGACAGAAATTGATTTCTGCCCCAGTTCTGAAAGTCAAAAGTCTGAGATCGAGGTGTCAGTAGTATTGGTTCTATCTGTTAGCTGTGAAAGAAAATCTTTTCCACGCCTCTGTCCTTGCTTCTAGTGGTTTGCTGGCAATCTTTGTCATTCTTTGGCTTGTAGTTGCACGACTTTCGTAATCAAGTATCATTCTCCCAGTGTGCATATCTCTGTGTCCAAATTTTCCCTTTTTATAAGGACACCACTTATGGTATATCTAAGTAGGGGCCCACCCTGCTCCAGTACAATCTCATCTTACTCATTACATCTGCAATGACTCTGTTTCCAAAAAGGTCACATTCTGAGGTACTAGCGGTTAGGATCTCAACATATGAATTTTGGGGACATAATTTAACCCATAACAATAGCTAAAAAGGTTGTTTGTTTTTGTACATCCTTCCTTCAGCTTTAGCTATAGTATAGATAGAAAATTGAGACAAAACCAACTTTCAGAAACAACATAATTACAAAGTTAGCACCCATTAAAGGTGGCATAACATGACACCAGACACCAAGAAGAGTACTTCAGCCCCTGGGACATTGAGATGCCCTTGGTTGTCCCTGTGTCACTGGGAGACAAGTTAAGGAAGCAGGGCCTTCTCTGCACCTGGGCTCTGGCTGGCTCCCACCTTGTTCACTAAGTCAGGGAGCTCACCCTCCACAGTGATAATAACCCTGAACGACCTCGGCATAGTTAGAAGATGGAGCCAAAGTGGAGTTTAAAATTAGGCCAATATTATTGAGCACCTGTTATATGTCAGGCAGTAGGAACAGGATCAAATACAAAACCTGACATCATGGAACTGACATTGGAAGGGGGAGACAAATAAGTAATACATAAATGATATCATTTCAGATTATGTATTTTTATGAACATGATAGAAAATGTTACAAACCAAGGAAACGTAAAACAGTAGACACATGTTGTGCTTGTTGAAGCATGAACACAGTGTGTAGGGCACAGATGGGTGCCTAGCCCCTGGCCTGTGACTTTCAGGTTTGGTCCCTTAGAACCCCTCTGCCCCTCTACTTCTGAGACTTCTTGGAGCTGCTGGGGCTATAGGCACCCCAGTGGCTCAGAGAGTTTGGTCCATCTGCTCCTGCCTCACAGTTCTGCTTCCTCTTGGCAACTGAGAACTTGTCACTCCCATGGCAAAATCGTCATGATCTGTCATCTCCTGTGATGTCACAAGGATGATAGCCTCTCTATGACCTAGCTCCTAAAGGGCAGGCTGAGACTAAGACAGGAACTGGTCAGTCAGGTGTTCAGCTGACCCAGAGTCACAGTTACCAGGCCTGATTATGTGAATGATCAAGGCCCTGTCACCTCCTGAGTGGTAGTCTCAAATGTTAGGTGAGTGTAGTCACACCAGCCTTTGCCACTCACTAGCTGTGCTACCTTGGGCAAGCCTCTTGCCCTCTTGAGCTCAATTTCCTCATTGTAAAATAATCCTTTACTTCACAGGGTTACTGTGAAGGTTAAGTGAGTTCATAGGTATAAAATGCTGCATGCTGTAACATAGTATTACTGTTGTGATTGTTGTGAATACTTTACATTCTTTCCTCCAAGATGCTTCTGTAGGGAA